GTGTTGTTTGTGGGCCATGTGTGTTAGTGTGTGCACACATGCATGTGTGTCCCCCACCCTCAGGCCTGCTGCAGCCATGCTTGTGAGCTGCCATGTTGGTTTTATGCTGTCTTTCTGAATCACTCTCAGTGACCCTGAGGAGCCTCAGCCATGGTAGGTACATGTCTCGCCCACCCCTGCTGCATGAACGGTGTGCCCACCCTGCTGTGCCAGCTCCACACGGGGCACACCTGGGACCTCAGAGCCAGACTCCTTGCCCCACCCTTCTGGAGCTGCAGACTTGCTCTTCCAGCTTTCTGTCCTTGTGCTGCTGTCCTCTCTTCCCTGGGAGCCCACAAGGCCTCCATGGCTGAGCCTAGGGCTCGTGGAACAGGCTCTATGCCCAAGCTGGCACAGTGGGTCCTTTATGGTGTAGGGCTGCGAGCTTGGAGGGGTTGTGTGTGGGGCTGGACTCAGAGCCAGAGGCCTAGAAACGTCATCCTGGGCCCGCTGTGTCTGTCCTGCAGTGTGAGTCATGCTGCCAGGCAGGGCATCCAGCTCCCAGCCTGGGAATGCCAAGAGCCAATCCACTGCAGAGCCAGGGTGATAGGGTCTCACCTCCTTTGTCTGTCGGCAATCAAGTGGTGATCTAGGTAAAAGCTTGAGAGTCCCATACACATGATCATCCTAGCACACACCTCACAGGCCAGGCAGGACACACAGCCCCCTCCCCTCCCTCCCAGGTCCCTTGTAGATGCTGTCATGTGACTGAAGACAGGGTCCCTGGCCCCCTCTGAAACACTACTGCCAGCCAGCAGGCTCACGCACCTTGGCCTGTTGCTCTTACCCCCTACTCAGCCGAGGGACCACAGTGGCTGCTGGCCCGGCTGAGCTCTGTCCAGAGAGCTAACCCGCCTCCCCTGCCATGGACTCTCCCTCTTCTGCTTTTCCCTGCAGGAAGGGCCCAGCCTCAACTTTGTGACCTGCAACCCCCGCCCCCTCACCGACCAGCTGAGGGTCCCCACTTAGACTTATAAGTCTATGACCACTGGCATCCAGCTGCCTGCCCTCCCTACCTCCCCCAGGGTCCCTTCAGAGGGTCCTGGGCTTTCTGACCACTCAAAGGGTGAGGGAATCTGTGGGGATCGCTCCCGTGTGAGGCCCCTGGGAAATGGGCCTCGCCATACGGTGAGCTTGAGCCCAGACACAGATCCCTGGTTGGGGGAGTCGAGCTGAGGGAAAGCAGGAACAGAGAGAGGGACTGTGTTATTCTAAATAATTAACAGACATTACTTTATGGATATGAGGACTTGGGAGGCAATGTGTCCACTTTCGGCTTCTTATGGTTTATTGCTTGTGTTCATTTTGGACCCTTGTTACCTTCATTGTAAAATATTAACTTAAGTATTTACACTTGGTAACTTATTTACCGTAACTTACTGGGTGTAACTGTAACTTACTTCCCATAGCTTACTGGGCGTGACTGTAACTTACTTACATTGATCTATTGGGCGTAACCTAATTACTGAAAGTAACCTACTTACTGGGCGTAACTTACTTAATGGGATTAACTTACTTACTGGGCATAACTTAGTGGGCATAACTTGCTTACTGTAACTTAAGTACGTTGATCTGGTGTAAACAACTTGGACTTCAGGAAAGTATATAAGGAAACATATTGCAAAAATAAAATTGCTGCTTGGACGTAGCCTAAGCCAGCCCTCCAGACTCCGCTTTTCTATTTTGTTTCACTTCCGCGCACTCTCTCCCTCAGGTTGAAGGAGACATCTACGTTGGCGGTCTTGGGGACTCCTGCAGGTCAGTAGTCCCCTGGCAGACATGCCGGACACCGACAAAAGGGGCCTTGGGCACTCCCTTGAGCCATCCAGCCCTTTTAGCTTCACCCTCCTGGTTCAGGCAGTGTTCCTTCTCTATCAGGCCTGGTGGCTCTTGTGTGGGTCTCCCCAAGGTGAGGGGTGGCCCTGGGCCAGTGGATTGGAAGACAGGGTGACCAGGGTAGAGGGCAGTCCTGAGAGTGGTCAACATGGGTCTGAACGGTTGGGTGCACTGCCTGTGTGCCGTGGGAGAGGCCAGCGTGTTTGGATTGGGAGGGCTGCCGTAGCCCCCGGCACTACCTGTGAAGCTCCAGCTCCTTCCTCCTCCTTCCTTCCCTTTCCCTTCCAGCCCCTTTCCAGAACCTTGCCACACCTGCACCTGTGCCCTCCCCTGCCCAGCCCTACCCAGCTGCTGCAGTGCCCCTGCTCTGTGCTTACCTCACCAGCTCTCTCCTCGCTTTCTCTCTCTCCGTTCCTCTCTGCTTTAATCTGCACTGCCAGCTGTTGGGACAGGGAGTCATCCCATCCTGAGCGCCCCAGGTCCCCCTTTGACCTCTACACAGATTCCCCCCTCCTGTCGGAGACCTCCCTTTCCAAACCTGCCTGGGCGACTGTTCTGTGACTCACCCAGCCACAAAGCCAGCCCCCTTCATCTGTGACTTAGTCTGTTGTAGTGGTGAGCTGACACATCCAGATGTGACCGTCCCCCTCTGTGGCACGCCCCTGCCCTGTTCTAGAAATATCTAGAAATACTCACATATATATACACACCTACACTTGGCCAACCACCTCGCCTCTGGCACTGGGAGTCAGTCACCATGCTGTCCTTGTGGAGTCTTGTGGTCCAACAAGAGAAAGTTGTCCCCTGACACTGCCCCTCCAAAGTGCCCCACCTCCAGTGAGCCTCCCTGTCATGCCTGGCATGTGGACACCCAAGCCCCTCCATCCCTCCAGCTCCCGCCAAGCATGGGGGTGCTGTGCAGGCAGCCCCATGGTCTGACAGTCTCTACCAGTCCTGCTGTCCCTTGGCTGAGAGTCAAACCCATTTCTAGATGACGGGGAATGTGTCCTCTGTGGACTGTGTTCTCTGTGGAGCTCAGGGGAGGGGAAAGGGCAGACCATTTCTGGGGTGCTGTTGGGAGTGGTGAAAAGGCCCCACCCTTTCCAGGGACCTGTTCCTGGAAAGCCCCTGGGGCTTAGCTGGTCTTATCCTGTGAAGCTGGCTCTGGCCACTAGGGGCAGGGCCATGAATTCAGCCTAGAGGGAACCTGCCGGGCAGCTGGTACTTTAGAGAGACAGAACAGGCCACCAGGTGCAGACAGGGGAGGAAGGCAGGGGGATGGAAGAAAGATGCTTAGGGTGGATGGAAGTCAGTGCCTTTGGGTGCTGGTACCTGCCTTCCCGGCCACCCCTAGATCAGGCTTCCGAGCCTGCTGGCTGTCAGGGCCAGAAGTGCCATGGCAGTCCCCGTGAAATCCCCCAGGTGTCACCAGGCAGCACACAGGTAACAGGCCTGGAAGGTCCCCAACAGCCCAGCTGGACATGCTCAGACACTGGGGCTCCTCATTCAGTGGCACAAACTCCAGGATCCAGTGAGGGAAACAGGAATATACCAGGCTGAGCAGTGTGACTAAATGCATTTATTCCAAAATAAAAAGCAAAATACTGTCCTCTGCTATCAATAAACAAGTTTCCCAACTGCAAATAATTATTTGAACCTCCTCCCCATGTGCCAGCTCCACCCTCTGCCAGGTACGATACAGGGGGCACCCCAAACCCCTAAAATATATAAAATGTTACACAGATATAATACCTACACTGGGGAAGGGGGTCACCCCAGCAGCCCATGCCCTCACCTGGTCCACAGTTAGTGACACTGTCCTGCCTCAGCTGCCTCTCTGAATAAGATGGGAGCCCCCTGAGGGAAAAGTTGCTTTGGTGAGAGGAAGGAGGCCATCAGGCCTCCTCCAAACCAACCAACTCCAGCAGCCTCTGGCTCCTAAATAACAACCATCGTCATCCAGAGATTTAAGGACTCAGCCCTGGTCAAGCTGGCAAAAGGTCTGTCTTTCCCCATTAGACAGGGGTCTTGTCTTGCTGCCTTAACAATAAAGGGGTGACTGGGAAGGGGTGGCACATGGTGGGGGTAGAGACTCCAGTTCCCCCTTCTCCAGGCCTTGCTGACAGAAGCCTGCTGTTATTTATTTTTATTTTTATCCCATGACTTAAAAAGAAAATCTCATAACTTCCTTTTCATAACATTTATCACTTTTCATAAAATTTTTCTACTTTTTATCCACAATGCTTTTTGCCACAACTTTTCCATTTTTTATCCAATGACTTTTTTATCCCATAACTTTTATCTCATAAATTTTATTAGTTTGTGTTCTTTTAATAAACACACTTGCATAGTTATATTACAATTTTGTAAAAATAAAAACAGATTATCTCATGCCAAGTGTGCCCAGCGTTTGCAGTCTCAATACCTTTAATACCATAGCTGTCAAGACGCACAAAATTTTAAGGCAGAAATGGCGCTTTGCAGCAACTGAACAATTTATTACATCACAGGAGCATCACAGCAGCACTCAATATTGTTGCTTTAGACAAAAGGCTCAGAATTTCCATTTTACATTCTGTTCACAGGAGTTCAGACAGTGGTAAAAGTCATTCTTAGAAAACTTGGCAACTAAAGCTTTGGACTGGAATTGGCATTTCTTCACTTTTCCTTCCCCCTATTTCTTCTAAACTGCAATATTCATATTTTTAAATGTTTAAGTAATTTCAAAACATTAAGAGACCAGTTATTTTTTTAATAGTTATTTTAAATAACTCTTTAAGATAAAGTTTTAGAGAAACTATATTGTGGATAGGATAGGACTGATTTACATTTTCAAATTTTCTAAAAATCAGCTTTGGTTTTAGAACTGAGTTTTATTCATTTCTGGAAAACCTATCAGGTTTAATAAAATCCTTTAAAAATGAGTAACATATTTTGCAATCTTTAAACAGGTATTTTGATTCTTCCTACAGAAATTCAAATTTGGTCAGTTGAACACACATTTTAAAATTCTGTGTTTTTGATGAACGCTAACCTTGATGTTGCCTTCTAAGCCAATTGAAAGCTGCCTTCTACTGAATGAGGAAGAGAACAGACACTTGGCTGAATGAAGTACTGCAGGAGACTCACGTGCACTTTGAAGAAAGACTTAAGTCACTGTCATGTGATTTCCGTTCTTTTAGATTTGTCTTAAATAGATGACAAAATGCCTACTCAGAGTGATATTTCGGTTAATATAGTAAATGTATTTTCCTGACTGCCATTCAGCTTAAACATGCCTGTATGGGATTTACTCCACAGGTACCTGATGAACACGTTATCATCAGATTGGGTACAGATGCTAAACACTATCTGAAGGTCATTCCTAGTCATTTGTATTTCTTAGGGTAAAAGTGAAGTGATTTGAACTATCAAAATCCCTTTGAAATAATTTATCAATGTATTAGATAAACCCAGTTTCAGAATGATTAAGAAAAACTGTTAGACCAAATAATGTGGCTGATTAACAGGGGTACGATTTCTAGCCCGAGGGTTGAAAATGGACTTAGAGTAACTGTCTTTAAACTGAACTCAAAGAATGCAAAAGCGGCAAGTTCAGAAATAAAACACAAAACAGAACTTTAAGTCCATTTTAAGCCCCCGGCTAGAAATCATACCACTGTTAATTAGCCGCATTATTTGGTCTAACAGTTTTCCTTGATCGTTCTGAAACTGGGTTTATCTGATACATTGATAAATCCCTACAATTTGGAAGAGTCAGTTCAAATCACCAGGACCCAATATTTGTACTCTTTCAGGGAATGCAGGCAAATGTGTTATTCCATCTGTCAAATTGTATGAGTGCTCTCCTATTAATGCCATATTTATGAAAGTATCATGAAGATGCCAAATGCTAAACGTGGAGACGGTCAGTAACTAGGAATCTCCCCTTCAGGGAGCACACATGCATATCTCCCTCCATCCTAACAATGGGAGGTATTTTGGTACATGGACATTAGAACTTCATGAAGTTTCAACTGTTGATTCTGTCCCAACCATCATAAAGTTATGATTTATGCAATGTCTGACTGAAAGAATTCATTCATAATGTAGAGACACATTAACATAAATGTTGCACAAAATGTGCCTCTAACTGAAACTGAAAGGTATAAAAACATATTTCTCTCTTGGTAAAGAACTTGCTGAGGAAATAGAACTCTGTGATTGTTAGACACTTTTCCTGATTTAATACATTGACATTCACAAACAGTAGATGGCACTGCAGGCTATAAACATTTTACGTTGCATAAACTTCTCTTTGATTGTCAAATATAGTACAATTCTGTCTACTGAAACTCCTTTTTTTCCAGCCAAGTACTCTCACATATATTAGTTTATAATAATGTTTGTGATTATTATTTTTGGTTTGTGATTATTGTTTAAAGTCCTTTTCATTGAAGAAAAACAAGGCAATTCCTATGTCAGAGTAACCAAGGTGGTTGAAGAATAGGTATTAGCCAGAGAAGTCTGGACGGTCAAGTCAATCTCGCCTCAAAGAAGCTCCGTGAACACAGAGGGACGCCAGGTGTCACACGGCTTTCCTGCACTCTAGTCCATTCTTGACTACACCCTGTGTGCCTGTTCCAGGGACATTTAAACTTTTTTAAATTTTTTATTAAAATTTTTATTTTTTTTCTGGACATTTAAACTCTGAAAGGATTTTGTTGTTGTTGGAGATGTTTTATGAAAACAGACATTTTATCAGCAACTTGCTATGTGAACTGTAATCAATAGCAATTTTTAAAACTGTGAAATGATACAAAGGATAATCTCATCCGTGGTCTTTTTCTGTGTGCAAGGCACTCACTATACCAAGTGTCCTAAAACATTAACTGTTCAGTCATCAATATTTAGTGCCTATCCATTCTAAGATACAAATTTCCATTCCTGTATATAATATATATGTATATATATATAAATTACACTTTATCTTAAAGGATTTCTTATGGCCTTTACTAAATACATTAAGAAGAATGCCAACCAGTGCCCTTTTGTGTACTGAGACTTAGAGTCAGGGGATTAAAACAGGTAACAGGAGCTCTGACTTTACAATGTATTATAGATGTAAATGCTCTAAGCTAGGAAAGGTTTTCCACATCCACCGTCAAAGATGGGAGCCTTTTATTCCTCAGAAATCATCTCTTTGTAGGTCATAAAAAAGAGTACAGCTGCTGCAGCTTATCATGCAGTATCTTCATGAGCCCAGAGCACAGAAAAACCCTAAAAGAACTACCATAGCGCAGCACTCATTCTTGGCACGGGAACCAATGAACTACTCTATTCTGCACATACCAGCCAGAGCAGGCCGCTTTCCTCTTCTGTGAGATTTTAAAAGCTCCCCAAAATGTTATTACTCCCATTTGCAATACACAGAACAAGGAAGAAAGGCTGTTTCCAGTTCTCGGCCTTTCAACAACTCTAAATGTCAGTACTCACAGTGGCATCTTACAAAGTAATAAACAGTGTGCACGTGAGGGCAAAGCACATATTGAGCTAATTAAGAGCTCACTGTAAATAGGATTTGATCAAATATCATAGCAGAACATAAGCAAATTGTATCTGAATTCCATAATGAATACACATGCTGCAATAACATTAAAAAACCATGGCAGCCTATTCCAAACTAGCGAGAATAGTTTTGTGTCAATAGTGGGTCTTTGTGTGTTTGAACTCCCACCATGTAAGGGCAAACTCGATAGGCATGCTAATGACCTACGATTATCAAATTAAAAATGAAATATTCTAAAAAATGCCAAAGTGAACATCAGTGAGAGCCACACGAAGATCCACTCTCCTTTAACTTTTTACAAATAAACTATAGATTAGAAACACAAATCATCCTAAGTGGCTCTAACATTCAAATGAAGTAAACGTGAAGACTAACCCTATAACTTTGTTCGTTTGTAAACTTCTGGGCCAGCTCTTAGCTGATCGTGATGTTTACCCGCTCCTTCGCCCACAGCCTGGTAAAAGCATGGCGTGGAGGGACTGCTGCCCAAGGGTCGGTGTTGCTGGCTGTCCTGCAGCTCACAAAGCCATGTGCCATCTGCTGTGCAGTGGGGTTCTGGTGTACCCCTCCCTCCTGCAGGCTGCAGGCTGTCAGCGAGGATCACCTCACAAAGTTCTTTGGAGAGAGGGAGGCAGGGATATGAGTGCAGTGCCAGCCTCCCCTGCTCCTGCCTGCCCACCCCGCCTGAGGGCTCTACTCACCATCCTTGTCAGCAGCACCAGGCTCCTGGGGGGCTGGGGCCCCTGGAGTGGGCTCATTAGCAGGGTGCTGGACTTCATGGTCGATCATAAGCTGCATCACTGGCCCCTGCAGCTCCAGCAGCTTTACCTGGAGATAGGGGTGCTCAGCTGCCATGCCGGTGCCAGCACCCATGCTCATGCCTATCCCCATCCCCCTCACCCCTGCAGAGATGCTGTACACCTTACCTTCATCCCCTCCTCAGCCTGCGACAGCATGCTAACATCATTCTTCTGGTGCTGGGTCTTGGCCACTGCCCTCTGACGGTCATTTGGTTTGACGGACTTTCCTGTGGGAGGACAGGCTCAGACACTGGGGTCCCTCCCACCACCCTGCAGCTCCCCTTGCCCTGCCTGGCCTCCTGCTCACTTATCATGTCTCTCTCTCCAGAGAGCTGAATGAATCCGAGCTCTAGTTTTTCCACCCGCTCCTTCAGGTATGAATTCTCCTTCAAAATGTCCATGAAGTCTCTCTGGAGCCGAAATAATGGGGTCACATCTCAGGAGCGACCTGCCCCCTTCCCCACCCTTCTTGGCCCCTGCCAGTACTCACTCACCTGCAGCTGGTCGAGAGCTCCCTGCAGGGCCCGCTGGGTCTCCCCACACCCAGACTCGCTCCCAGTCCCTGTGGCTGTGGCCGCTGCCTCTGGCTCCTTCAGGGCCGAGGCCCCCAGCTGAGCCTGGTGCTGGCAGCACACCTGTTGTTTCTGGAGCTGCTCACAGAGCCGTGCCTGCTCCTCCTGGGCACTGGCTTTAGCAGCGTTCAGAAATGGCACCTGAAGGCAAGAGGTGAGGGTTCTTGTAGAGGCATACACAGGACAGATGGGGCAGGGAGGTAGAGCACAGCCCCTTCCCTTGGGGCCTCAGAGGGTGCACCTGTCAGTCACGAAGGTGTCTGACCACCGGCTCCCGGAAGGGATGAGGGTCCAGAGGAATCAGAAGGCAGGGAAACCAAGAGCATAAGGGGGTCTGGGAGGGACCACAGAGGAAGGTGGCCTGCCCACACGCCTGGCCCCTGGCTCCAGCCCAAGAGACTGCCTCCCTTGCCTAGAACCCCGTGTCTCCTTCCACAGCCTCAAATCTCACATCCTTCTTTCCACCATTTAAACTGTAGCCACAGACTGCTGGAAAAGCAGAGGGAGCCAATCACCATCTGCCAAGTGTGCTACATGCCTAACGCTTTCTACGAATCATCTCATTTATTCCTCAGCACCCACACAAGGAAAATGCTAACTTCCTTTGGAAGGTAAAGAAACAGAGACTTAGAGATGCAAAGCAGTTGAATGGTGACCAGTGGAATCAAGGTCCGAATCCAGTTTGGATCTAAGGAGACTTTAATGTTGTTTTGTGACAGAGTGTCACTCTGTGGCCCAGGCTGGAGAGTCGTGGTGCAAACTCAGTTCACCGCAACCTCCACCTCCCTGGCTCAAGCGATGCTCATGCCTCAGCCCCCTGAGTACCTGGGATTACTGGTGTGCACCATCACGCCCAGCTTTGCTGTTTTTGTGGTTGTTGTAATTTTAGTAGAGATGAGGTTTCGCCATGTTGGCCAGGCTGATCTCAAACCCTGCCTCAGCCTCCCAAAGTGATGGGACTAAAGGTGTGAGCCACCGCACCCAGCATAAAGAGTCTCTCACACCACTGTCTCTTGCCCTATGACTAGGGGGCTCCATGCCTCGAGCTGGAATGATGATGTCCAGATTGGTGTCTGCCTCCCATGGCACCAGGAAGGGTGGAGGCAGGTTAGAAAAATTGTCTCCTTTCTCCCACAGCCATCAGAGCAGGGTTCTGGCTCCCAGGTGCCTTTAGAAAGCCCATTTCATGGGAGGGCTACACTCTCACATTTTACAGGTGGGAAAACAAAGGACTGGAGGGCTGGGGAGGAGGGCAGGCTCCCCAGGTGGGCAACACACCAGCTCCTCCTCTTGCTCCTGGAGCCCCTCCTGCTCAAGAAGCCTCTCCTGTTCTCTCAGCCTCACCTCCGTCTCCCAGAGCCTCATTTTTGCCTCCTGCAGTCTCTCCTGTTCCCGTGGCTCATCTCTCAGGTACTTGGTTTCAGTTTTTAGGTTTTCTTTCCAAGTCAGAGGGCCCTGTCGGTGCTTCAGGATCGGGGGTTCAGCTGAGAAAGGAAGCAGACAATAAGGGCCTCTGGATTCTAAAAAAGAAAAAACTCTTCTGGGTGCACAGCTCCTCTCAAGCTCCCCAAACCTGGCCTCACTGCTAATGATTCCTCACACCCAAATGGTAGCCAGTCTTCCAAGCCACTTTCAGATAGAGAGCACTGTGAGTGGCTGACGACGGGCACCCTCCCTCTTTCTGATGGGGACACTGAGGCCCATGGAGATGACAAGACATGCCATCTCCCAGCACAGACCTCTCTCCCTCTGCCTCAAAGCCCTTCCAGCCACCCACCTCCCTGGGGCACTCTAAGCCACCCCCACAGCCCTCTGATGCCAGTCCTGCTCCCGGGTCACGCCAGCCCCATCTTACCCAGAAGATTTTGTAGGTGGGCAAGGCTCCCCTTCAGCTTCTCGATTTTCATTGCGTCTTGACTTTTCTCCATTTTGAATATTTCAATCTGCCCAAAGAACAGCGGGAAAGGGCCCTGGAGAAGGGCTGGTGGCTGGACAGGCTACCATCTCCCTCTCCGCCCCCAGCTCCACACAGCCCAGTCCTGTGACCACCCCTGGCTGGACTAGTCTCATTTTACAGATGCCCAGAAAGATCCAGTGACCTATCTAAGGTGGGGGCTGAAGGGTCAGCTCTCACTTCTCCTGCCATTGTGAGGATTTTCTGCTGCCACTGCGCCTTCTGTGTTTTGAGTTGTTGAGCGTAAGCGTCTCTTTCTAGCTGAGCTTTCTTAAGACACTCCGTCACCTGCAGGAATGGACCCAGAAGTTAGGAAGGGCTGTCACTGTCCTCACCTGCTCCTGGCCACCTGGGCTCATCTTCCTTCCACATCCCTCCCTCTGCATAGTCTCACCTCTGCCACCTGCGCTTTTAGCAGTTCCCGCTCCTGTAGAAACTGCTGTACCTGCTGCTCAAGGACTGCTTCACGGCGGCTCGAGGGCTGGATGGGGAAGAGCGAGAAGCTTCAATCTGGAGAGCCTGGGCCATTCCACACAGTGCCCCTTAAAAGGGCTAGGGCTGGGCTTAACACACAACTCGGTCAGTAAAGATCAAGTCACGTCCCATCCCGTGGTCTGGATTTTAAAAGACCTCAGTAAAGTTGGAAGGCACAGGGAAAGAGGCCACAATTACAGCTGGCTAACAGAGGCCCAGAGAGGTCACATCATATCCTATTTTTATTCCTGTAGTTACTACCGCTGTTGGAACCTTGATTGAGTGCGTCACCAGGTAGCGTGCGAACAGTCCCAGTTAACCTCACAACCACCATGAGGGGCGGTTACTACCATTACCTCTATTGTGGAGATGGAAAACATGGAGTATTAGAGGTTAGGTGGTTGACTAAGATCACTTAGACAGAGCTGGGATTTGAACACCCAGGTCCATCTGATTCTCTCAGTCCATTTTTTTTTCTGCTGGGTGTGGAGGCACAGACGGGAAGGGGGAAATGAATCTTTTGCTCATATTTTGAAAGGAGGATACATTCACATAGTCCAAAACTTAGAAGGTACAGAAGGGAAGTATCTCCCAGCCACCTGTGCTCTCACCTGAGTTTTTTACAAATCCTTGCAGACATGTTTTATGTATATTATCATAGTATGTACACACACACACACACACACACACACGTTTCCTCTCTCTACACAAATGGTAACATACTAAAGCTACTCTTCTGTACCTTCACAGTCCAAGGGCCAAGTGCCCAGTCCCCCACCTAGGACTTGGCCAAGGCCACAGCCAGGTAAGGGCAGGGCGGGCATTTGGCCTCCAAACTCTGCGTCCAGTGCTGGCTCCCCATAGCACCCTTCAATTCACCCACAGCAGCCCCAAGGGGAAACTGGAGCCCAGGATTGGCAGCGTGGAATCAGGGGACCCCACTGGACTCTTACCAATAAGTCGATGGTGTTATTCAGTTCACTGGTTGTGACTGAGCTCGAGTCCAGGGCTATTTGTACTTGGTGTGCGCTCTGAGGCGCATGCGGAGAGGAATTGGAGGAGGATTAGGGGAGAGGTAGAGAGAACAATCATTATGGTTGGGATGTGTGCGGCTGTCTCGGCTGGCAGAGGGGCACCCAGCTGCCACTGTGGGAGAAGGGTGGAGGGCTGGCCTGCAGGGTCACTGTACCTCAGCTCAGGGCCTCTTACCTCTGGATCTTTCATGGTGGCACACGGTGCAGGGCCCTCCTTGTGACCACCTGCTGCTGACTACAAGAGATGAGAGTGCACATGGAGATGTTCTGTCCCCCTCAGTGTCCAAGCCTCTGACTTCCTTTCTTCCCATCAGCTGGCAGCATTTTCCGTTCTGCCTCCCTCAGACCCTTTGTCCCATAATTCTTTTGTGCCAGCTCCTCTCATGGTTCTTATCTCCCACCATCCCCCCTGGGGCCCTTTCAGTGACTCTTAAAGGGACAGCCTGACAGCAAATGGCTGTTCTCATTGGGCTGGCTTCCCCTTGAGATGGGGGGTGAGGAAAACCAAACAGCAAGGACCATTTCCTGGGTGTCCTGGGTGTTTACAGCAGGCCATGTACTAGGGATTAACAAAACAACAGCAATAACGAATCTCATTTCACCCTCACAAATGGAAGTCAGACAACATCACCTCTATTTCACAGATGTGAAAGGAGAGGCTTAAAAAGCTCAAGGAACTTGCCCTAAATCCTATCCCTCGCAGATGGAGAGGCGGGATTCAAACCCAGAATTCCTAACCAGTACCCAGAAGTTCTTCCACAACCTTAACAATTACCCTCTACTGCCCCCTTGGGCCCCTTTTCCCCAGAAGCCTGGCCAGCCAAGACTCACATGGCATGGTGACTGGCAACCATCAGAAGCGGATGTCTCACGGCTACTGTTGTTTCTTTTCTTTCTTCTTCTCACTCGAGATGGAGCAGCAGGGCTGTTTCTTTGTTGAAATTCTTTTAACTGTGGGAAAAAGAGCAGTAATGCCCATGAGAACTACAAACCCCTACAGTCACAACCTACTTTACAGTTTTTACAAAATACTGTTATACACCATCTGATTTAATGCCACCAACAACTCTATACTGTGTTGTCACACTCACTTAGTGACTGAGAGGGATTGATGTCATGACAAAAAAAAAAAAGAAAGAAAGAAAGAAAGAAAAGAGAGAGAAAAAGTAATACTAGAACTTAAACTCATTCCTCTGACTCCAAGCTCTAGGGTTTTGCCACGAATCAGCAACTGCCAGAGACCAAAACCACAGGCAGAGGTAGAAAAATCAACATGAAGTAGGCAGGAACTGTATGCCGTGTGGTTTAGAGTCATACAGCCTCACACAAGCACCACTGGCCGGGAGCATTGGCTCATGCCTATAATCCCAGCACTTTGGGAGGCCGAGGTGGGTGGATCACAAGGTCAAGAGATCGAGACCATCCTGGTCAACATGGTAAAACCCCATCTCTACTAAAAATACAAAAATTAGCTGGGCATGGTGGTGCATGCCTGTAGTCCCAGATACTCAGGAGGCTGAGGCAGGAGAATTGCTTGAACCCAGGAGGCAGAGGTTGCGGTGAGCCGAGATTGTGCCATTGCACTCCAGTCTGGGTAACAACAGCAAAACTCTATCTCAAAAAAAAAAAAAGAAGAGCACCAGTACCTCTCACACTTTTATATCAATGTGTCCTCATGGCAGAAGGCAGCCTTTCTGTTAAATCTGGGAATTCATCAGAAGGAGGACAACCCAAGTCTTATTGAGAGAGGTCTGGTATACTCTTAGAAACCTATGTGACTGTCATCCCTAAGTACATTAATGCTTTTGCTCTCTCTAGAGACTCAAGGGAAACTGATGCTTCAGAAAGATGTCCCATGTTTATCCCGTGGCATTCAAAGTAGCCTGAGTTGCAATGATTTGAGGAAGATTCAAGCTGTCAGTTTCAATTTCCCAAGATCTGTTCCACAGAAGATGAGCAAATCTCACTCCAGAGGCCAGTGACTGAGGGCAGTCTGGTCCCAAAACCATGGAGAATTTGAAGATGAGCTGGAGAACTCAGAAAGTAACATGAAAGTCTCTCTGGAGAGTAGAAGCCTGAGAGAAAACCAAACCAAACCCATTCTCCCATTGCCACCCAGAGACACTGTCAATGTTTTGAGCTCACGAGGGAAGTGTAGGCTTTTCACACTGTCAAGGTCTATGTTAAAGGAGTGGGCAGCCTAAAACCTCTCGCTCCTAGGTCCCATAGTCCACATTCCCCAGCCAGCTGGAAATGTGTGCTGGGACCAGAGGAGCCAGAAATGCTATGAGAATGCTTAGGGGACTGGGCGGTAAGATCAAAGGCTGGTCTTGTAGCAGGAATGATGGTTCCTAGGGGGACTGTGACATCGCTACATTCCACTCCCCCTGGGGGAGGGGACCACATCCACGAGATGCCTGAGTCACTGCTCCATGATGGGGGAGGGGGATGCAGGGTTGGGACCCAGGTCCTTGGAGATGCCAGCCCAAAGAGCACAGGGAGGTCACCCTGGGGTAGGAGGAGGGGAGGGCAGAGTCTGCAGCAGGGATTCCCAGGAGTCACCAGCCCAAAGTCACCCAGAAATGACTGGTGAGGTTGGGGGCTGGGAGACCCAGGTCCTTAGAGACAGGAGCCCACAGAGCCCAGGGAGGTCAGGCTTGGGTCAGGAAAAGGTGAGGTCCAAGTAGGGAGCGGGGAGCCTCAGGAGTTACACATCCAAAGTCACCCTGGGGTGATTGGCAAGGGTAGGGGCTGGGCTCCTTGCTGAAGGGTTGGGGCTGACTGACAAGACGTTGGTAGGGGGAGCCCAGAGGCAGCAGGGTTAGGGGCCCACCCCGTCTGGTGTGTCTCAGAAGTGTTATGGACTCTGGCATCGGTCTTGCTGTCGGAGGGGATCTGTGTGCATGTTACCTTTTTCCTAGCCGAGGCTATCATCTTGCGAATTTCTTCTGACATCGACATGGTGGATGGGGGAGGGAGGTGGGGTTGGAGAGGGAGGTGGGGTTGGGGCCACATCAGCACAATTCAAAGGAGCACTGGTAAGCAGCTCCACTCCTCTACCAGGCAGCTGTGTGTCTGAGACAGAGGAGGCGTAACCAGGGCCACACTAGAATGTAGAACAGGGGCGTGGCCTTCATGCTCCAATCCCATTGGTCATGAGAAAGATGAAAGGAAAGGAGGCGTGGCTAGGCAGCTCCAGAGAGACCTGTGGCATCCCAAGGAAAGCTGCTCCTGCAACTCCTGTCCCCGCCCACTCTGAGAGGGGAGGGGCCACCCACTCCGGGAGAGCGGAAGGGCTGACTTTTGCCTTTGAACTTTTACATATACCAGAGCCTGCAGCCCAGTGTTTGGGTAGGTGACTGTATGGGGAGATGACAGTGTGGGAAACAATCCTGCCTAGGCCAAGGCCTCATGGAGCCCAGCGTTCCCTAGGGCCAGGAGAGCACTGGAGCACACCCTGACAACCATTGGAAACCTGAAATCCACACCTGTAGATCAAGAAAGGGGTTCAGCCTCCAATGCACCCGCAGCCAGGTGAGACAGGCACAGGTGGCTGCCAAGCAGATCTCCTGCCTGACCTTCCTCTCCTGCATCCCCCAAGCAGAGGAGCAGTGACAGCTGCCTATTAGCCCATTGCCTAGATTGAAGCCACTGAATCTGGGTCCCAACAGGCCTGGCCCAAGGCAGTCCTGTCTCTGGTGAGGACCTGGTAGACAGATGTGATGTTCCCAAGTGGCTCTATAAACCTTATCGTGGATAATCAAGGAAATGGGCAGGACCATCATGCTCAGCCAAGAACCTGGCAGGCACAAGGGAAACCAGGGGCAGACAAAAGTCAGTTTGGGTCCAGGCCTTGCCCTGGAAGGATGGTGGACTAGGGGCCCACTGCAGTGAAGAGGAATGGATGGCCATGGACTGCCTGGCCAAGGCTGTCAGCTCCTGCAGCACCTGCGGAACATCCGCCCAGGCCTGGCTCTGCACTCACGCTTCTGCCTGGAGCCACACATGCCTGGACAACAGCCTGATGTATGGATGGTGGAAGGAAAGGCTCTCGTGGCCACATGTGGGCACCTAAGCATGGGACAGAGGAGCATTGTGCCCTAAAGAGACCATACAGGCCAAGAACTTAAGCAGACATGACACCATCAAGAAATACCCTTGTCCTGGGTCATATCAATTAAGTCAGAGCCTGTCCTGATTCTGAAGCTGCAGCTCAGTCTAGTTGAGACTCACAAAGATGTCAGTGCAGGGCAGGGGGCCCGGCCCAGCCTGCGACATCCAGCAAAGCTGTGTGCTGGACAAGCATCTCTGAAGATGGGTCCAGGACAAGGACAGCTGTGCCTGGGCAGGGAGTGGGGAAAATGCCCAGGGGGCAGGAGGCCTGAAGACCTTTAACTAGGTGGGATGCCAGGTCAGCACATACAGAAGAGAAGGTGACATGGCAGCAGCTGTCTGAGGCCAGGCTATAAACCTAGTGGCCTCTTTGTCTAGTTGAAACCATGCTGCTGCTCAGTCGCCGTTTTTCAAATGCCAGAGGCAGGGCTGGGAGGGCCCCCAGACCCCTCTTCCCTCCCACCCCAAGCAGGTTCTCATGCCTCACCAGAAGGAAAGTGAAATTTTCTATGGGTCACAGCTGGCCAGGTTCTCTGTCACCTGGTAGAAGGGGCAGGGGAGCTGCAGCTGGGTGAGGAAGAACCCAGGTACCAGAGCTAGAAAGGCTTTGGGAAAGCCTTGAACAGGGCCAGGACCTGAGCTCTGCCTGGCTATGGTGACTCTGAGCCAGGCAACCCTACGATGGTCTCAGTCTGTCACTCTGTCTCATGGGGGATGTCGGCATTATTACCTTTGGAGTCAAAGTAGGTAAGCCAGGGAAACGAGCATTCCCAGTGTGAAGCCCGGGCAGCCGAGGCCCTTGCCCTTCAGGTTACAGGCATCTGGGTCCTGGTCTAGATCCTCACATGCCATCCAGAGACCGAACCCTAGGGACAATTCCTCCCAGCTGGTAGCAGTGTCTCAATTCTTGTACTCCCACCAAAAGCTCTGAAATGAGGAGGCCTGTGGGTGTGGGTAAGACTCTTCAGGAGAAGGTTCTCAGTGGCAAAAAAGGTTTGAGCTGTGCCTTAGGGAAGCCAGAGAGTAGGTGACAGGCCCCCTCACATAGCCTGCCAGGGAACACAGGAGAAACACAGGTATAGTGGTGGGAATGTTTTGGAAGACAGCAGGCAGCCTCCCACTCACTGATGGGACTGAGTGAGGTCAGGTCCACACGCCAGAAGCTGGATTCCACACACGGTGCACTTTGTTTCTTGTTTTAAAGACAGGGTCTTGCTCTGTTGCCCGGGCTGGAGTGCAGTGGTGCAATCATAGCTCACTGCAGCCTTGACCTCCTGGGTTCATGAGGTCTTCCGCCCTCAGCCTCCTGAGTAGCTGGGACTACAGGCACATGCCACCATGCCCAATTTTATTATCCCATCTCATTACAGTGGCTCATGCCTGTAATCCCAGCACTTTGGGAGGCTGAGGCGAGTGGATCACTGGAGGTCAGGAGGTGATTGGGTAATAGGGCTCTGCTCTCATGAATGAGTTAATCCATTCCTGGATTAAAGGATTAATAAATTATCAAGGGAATGGGTTAGTTATCAGGAGAGTGGGTCTCTTATGAGCCCTTCACCATGTGATGCCTTGAGCCACCTGTGGACTCTGAAGAGAGTCACCAGCAGTAAGAAGTCCCTCAGCAGATGTGGCCCCCCAAACTTGGATCTCTCAGTCTTCAGAACCATGAGCTAAATAAACCTCTGTACTTTATAAGTTATCCACTCTGCAGTATTCGATATAGCAACAGAAATTGACTGATACCCTGTTGTCTGGAATAGACTCACCCAGCCACATGTGCAGTGGAATGAATCTCCTCAGAGTAAATCCTCTTTTCCTGTTGCCTTTTAATAACTGTGTTAGAGATGTGTTCTGCAGAAGGAATATCCACTAGTAGTTCAAGTTGAAAATTTAGTAAGAAGGTGGTTCAGATGGTGACCAACCCCCCAGGTGTGGTTAGTCCTGGGAGTGAGTTTACAGGGCTTCGACCCTCCAAGGAGCCCTCTTTATGTCACCATGCACATGCCAGCTGGACCTCAACTGCTACAGTTTCTTCTGTCTGAGTAGTTACCACAAAGACTAATAGAGCTTGGCTGCAATGCCATCCTTGACCAACAGGAGCTGCTGTATAAAATACATACATACATACATATACACACACACACACACACACACACACACACACATCACCATATAGATATATATACATACACATATATATAAGTTCCTTTAGTTCATTTGTGCTCTCTTTATTATTAATCAAAGCTCACTGTATCTGTCCTACAAATTATTATTCTCTAAGGTGGGACAATAATAAGCCAGATCTTTCTTTTTTTTTTTTCATGGTAATAACAGGGTGGACAAGGCTAACCCTGGCCCTTCCACATTGATTTGAAAGCAGTAGCTCTCAAGGGTAACATGCATCGGAATCCCCTGGAGGGCTTGTTAAGACACAAGTTACCAGCCCCCTCTCTAGACTTTCTAATTTGGTAGGTCTGGAGTGGGCCTTATAATTTGCATTTCATTTTTTATAATTTATTTATTATACTCTGAGTTCCGGGGTCCATGTGCATGCAGACGGTGCAGGTTTGTTACATAGGTATACACGTCCCATGGCGGTGGTTTGCTGCATCCATCCCCCCGTCATCTACATTAGGTATTTCTCCTAATGCTATTTCTCGTCAATCCCCCCACCCCCTGCTATTCCTCCCTTACCCCCCCACCCCCCCAGGCCCCAGTGTGTGATGCTCCTCTCCCTGTGTCTGTGTGTTCTCATTGTTCAACACCTGCGTATGAGTGAGGACATGCAGTGTTTGGTTTTCTGTTCTTGTGTCAGTTTGCTGAGAATGATGGTTTCCAGTTTCATCCATGTCCCTGCAAAGGACGTGAACTCATCCATTTTTAAGGCTGCATAGTATTCCATGGTGTATATGTGCCACATTTTCTTTATCCAGTCTATCACTGATGGGCATTTGGGCTGGTTCCAAGTCTTTGCTCTTGTGAATAGTGCTGCATAAACATACATGTGCATGTGTCTTTATAATAGAATGATTTACAATCCTTCGGGTATGTACCCACTAATGGGATTGCTGGGTCAAATGGTATTTCTTTTTCTATCAGATCTTTATTTCTTTATTTTTTTTTGAGATGGAGTCTTGCTCTGTCAACCAGGAGTACAGTGGCACTATCTCAGCTCACTGCAGCCTCCACCTCCCGGGTTCAAGCAATTCTCCTGTCTCAGCCTCTGGAGTAGCTGGGATTATAGGCGCCTGCCACCACACCTCGCTAATTTTTGTATTTTTAGTACAGATGAGGTTTCACCACGTTGGACAGGCTGGTCTCAAACTCCTGACCTCAGGTGATCCACCTGCCTCGGCCTCCCAAAGTGCTGAAATTACAGGTATAAGACACCATGCCTGGCCTGAATGAACTCTTTAGAAATGAAGAACTGAGACTGGGTGTGGTAGCTCAACCTGTAATTCCAGCACTCTGGGAGGCCAAGGTGGCTGGATCACCTGAGGTCAGGTATTCGAGAGCAGCCTGGCCAACATGGTGAAACCCTGTCTCTAGTAAAAACAAAAATTAGCCGGGCATGATGGTGGGTGCCTGTAATCCCAACTATTCAGGAGACTGAGGCAGGAGATTCACTTGAAACAGGGAGGCAGAGTTTACAGTGAGCCGAGATCATGCCGTTGCACTCCAGCCTGGACGACAAGAGTAAAACTTCATCTCAAAAAAAAAAAAAAGGACTCCCAGCAAGCCACAAGCAGGCTTTGCCATACTTTGCCCCTCTAAGCTGTAGCAGGGCCCAGGTCCCTGAGGAAATTTCAGGACAGATCTGAGGTGGCTCCATGGTCACCAGATGGTCACTGCCCCATCTGGCTCACCATGGTCTGGAGACGGCCTGAGCTTCTCATGCATACCTGGCCAATCTTTAACTGGTTGACCTAGAGCTCCCCACTCCCCAGAGCTAAGGTAGAAGGAATTGGAGACTTTGCCCCACTGCTTGTCATTCCTGCCCCCCACAGCAGTCAGGAGGCACATGGGGTCAGCCTTTTCTGTGCCTTCCCAGGAGGCCATGGACACACGTCATCTCAGGCTGTTCTCATAACAACCACAGGAGATGGGCACTGATGTACCCACTTTAGAGATGAGAAGTCTGAGGCTCAGGAAGCACAAGGAGGACCTGGGTGGTGGAGGGACTCAGGACTGTGCCATTTACCCTCTGCCACCTCCAGGGTCTCTTCTCTGCCTGTGTCTCTTCTGAGTCAGGACTGTCAGGTTGGAAGAGGGCAGCTTGGAAATGCAACATGATTAAGGAATGGCATGGAGAGTTGGAAAAAGCTCTTGGCCAGAGGGCTAGGAGAACTGCACCCGGGTTCCAAGTGTGGGTGACCTTGGGCAAGCCCCACCCATCTTCAGCCTCCTCTGAGGTCTTCTCCAGCACCATTCGCCTGAAGCTCGGGCCGCTGACAATGCCCCCTGCTCTGCCAGCCTTGCTTAATAAGGCTGTGGGCAAATCCAGTGAGGCTCTGGCAAACCGTGAAGTGCAGTGCACCCGGGGAAGGTGATTTTTGGCTAAGATGATGGAATGGAAGATGGTGGAATGGTGGGAAAAGCCTTGAGCTGGGAATCCCATCTCCACCTCACAGGGAAAATCAAGAGACTTCTCTAGGCCTCCATGTCTGTCCAGTTCAGAGCCTCAGCTCCCTTGATCTCAAGCATCTGCCACCAACCAGATACCAGATCTTTCCTTTATACCTTAGCACAGGTCTATTTTTTTTTTAAGAGATGGGGGTCTCCCTCTGTCACTGAGGCTGGAGTACAGTGGTGAATCGTAGCTCACTGCAGCCTCGGACTCCGGGACTCAAGCAATATTCTCCTGCCTCAGTCTCCTGCCACTGTGCCGAGCTCGTTCAGCTCCTTGAGAGAGGAGTTTGATTGGCTCAGCTCATCTTTTTCAGCCAGGCCACACAAGTCAGAGGTCACAGTCAGTCAGGGTCCCCTTGGAGCAGTGTTTACTGCCACAGCCAACAGGGTCAGGGTCACAGCATCCTGGCTACCTCAGCCCAGGGCCTCTGCACACCCCTCCTTATACCCCCACTGCAAAGAAAGTCACCCTTGGGCTGGGCACGCATCTAATCTCAGTATTTGGGAGGCTGAGGCGGGCAGATCACCCGAGGTTGGGAGTATGTGACCAGCCCGACCAACATGGAGAAACCTTGTCTCTACTAAGACCACAAAATTAGCCAGGCTCGGTGGTGGTGCATGCCTGTAATCCCAGTTATTGGGGAGGCTGAGGCAGGAGAATTGCTTGAACCCGTGAGGCAGAGGTTGCAGTGAGCCGAGATCATACCATTACACTCCAGCCTGGGCAACAAGAGTGAAACTCCAACTCAAAAAAAAAAAAAAGAAAGAAAGAAAATCACCCTTGCTCTCAGCCTTCTCTGGGACTCCAAGGCTGAGCCTCCTACCGACAAATTAGAGAAAGATCTATCACTGCTCCTATGCAAACCCGCTCACCCCTGCTCTGAAGGAGGCTGGAACACTGGGTCAGGTGGTCCTAGCTGGCTCTTTTTCCCTCAGGGTGACCTTCCTCGCAGGATCCCCTCAGTCCCTGTGCAAATGAACTCAGTCACTGGGGTCCCCCTCACGCCGTCTGCCTAGATATATCTCAGTCTTTTTTTGAGATGGAGTTTCACTCTTGTTGCCCAGGCTGGAGTGCAATGGTGCAATCTCGGCTCACTGCAGCCTCTCTGCCTCCTGGGTTTGAGCAATTTTCCTGCCTCAGCCTCCCAAGTAGCTGGGATTACAGGCATGTCCCACTACTCCCAGCTATTGTTTTTTTAAGTAGTCTCACTCTGTCACCCAGGCTGGAGTGCAGTGGTGCGATCTTAGCTCACCACAACCTCTGCCTACTGAGTTCAAGCAATTCTTCTGCCTCAGCCTCCTGAGTAGCTGGGACTACAGGCATGTGCCACCACTCCCAGACAATTTTTATATTTTTAGTAGAGACAGGGTTTCTCAATGTTGGCCAGGCTGGTCTCAAACTCCTGACCTCAGGTGATCCGCCCACTTCAGTCTCCCAAAGTGCTGGGATTACAGGTGTGAGGCACCACGCCCCACCAAATCTCAGTCTTAAAGCAACGTGCCCCCCAAGGAAGAACTGTCCAGTTAACAGAGGATTCTGAGGAGGGTGCAGACTGTCTGAAAGAATGGTAGTGAGTACAGTGACTGGGGGACCAAGCAGAGGCCGGCTAGACCAGAGCTTCTGCGGCTCAGAGTCAGTCCAGGAGTTTGCCCTCTACCTCGCCCCTATCACTGGCTCCTGTCCCTGAGAGGGCACTGCCACCAGAGGTAGCCATGTCCTGAGCCAAGCTCCCCATTCCTTAGTGATCCCCCTCAAAATTAGTCCCGAGACCCTGCACTCTGTCCGACCCTCTGTCCATCCTGCAGTGGGTGGGAGGGGTTGGGGGCCCATCACCCCACCATGACATAACACCAGGTTCCGGGAGCCCTCTGGAGTACAGCTGGGATGCAGCCTCTCAGGCAGTGCAGCGGGGTGGGGGAGCACTTTTGGGCAAGGAGCCCGCCCGATGCCCCTCACCCTGCACTGATAAGGGAAGCAGCCTCTGCTCTGCATGGAGGGACCTGCACTCTCCCCATGGGCCCTTCTGCCCTGTGGGTTTTTCTGGGTTAAGATAACGTGGTGGTGTAGGTGATACTCAACAGGTCCCCCCAGGCCTCACCTCTTCACCTCATACTTCCCCCTCCACCCCAGGCCAGTATTACAATCATTGCAGGGCTTGGGAAAGGGAAAGGGGATGAGGCCAGATGCTGGCTCACGGAACCAGAAGAAAATCCCAGCTCACCCACTAACTTCGGGCCAGTGGCATAAACTTTCTGAGCCTAGATTTC